GCTCTCAGCCATGTTCTGTTGCACCACTTGTGTAACCATTATTCTAATCATCTCCACCGGTTGACCGTTCTCGAGGTTCGACATCCCTACCCCTTGATTATACGTGGTCTGTTGTGCTGCCGGTGCTAGTGGTCGACACCCGACGACATCTTGACGCACCTCCTGGTGGGTGGTTTCCACATTATCATGGTTTTCGGTGGTGGTTTTTGATCGTGTACAAACTATTGTGGACCTTGAGTTTCGAGTCACTGGGATTGTTCACTAGAAATTCTGAGACTTTAGCGGAGGCCCTCCTTCTAGCGCCAAAAAGCAATAATGTAAATGGCATAATGAGTTTTTAAAGTTGTTCGAGGAGTTATACTCTTGAGCCTACATCCACTGTTTTTGTATTTGTTGTGAGAGCTTACAACAATAATCATAGAACAATTTGCTAACCCCTTTCTCATCATTGGAGGGGGTTTTTATATAGATTTTGCACAAAGAAAAAAATGAAAATAAAGGGATTACAATCAAAATTGAAATATAACTCTAACATCCTCGTGATTGAGAATTGAGATTGCACCAAGATTGTTGTTGATCTAATCCCTTCTGAGATATTCGGGATCTGAAGTTATCTGTGAGCTGGTTGAATAGTTGTAAGGATTGGTCACGTCTAGTTTATGCTAGGTTGAGCTGCAACTCGACGAGCTTATGCTGGGTCAGACAATCGAATGAGTCGAACTGATTTTGGATCGAGTTAATACCTCGCCATTCTCGAACTTGGTGGAAAAATTACATACAACAAATGCCTATACCTTAGATTTGACATACTCTATTAATTAATTATTAATGTAGTACATACTTTACCTCTATACCACTTGCACTAAAGACAACTAAATCAAAACAATGATCTTTGTAACTAGGGGCGGATCCAGAATGTGTTGGCCCACCCTCAATTTAAAAAGAAAAAAAGAAAATTGAATATATTATTCTATTTGGTTTGACTTTGGCATTTTTAAATATTAAAAAATGTGGTCTACTCTCAAATTTAGTACTAAAAAGTCTTGGCCCACTCACCATTTTAATACTAAAAAATTTGGCCCAATGCCCACCTTCAATTTTTTAATAAAATTTGTAAAAGTAAAACCTTCATTTGCTGTTACAATTTGCAAATCCTCAGTCCGACAGTCCTCAAGTTTTGCATAGTTCCTCTGTTGCTCTCCCTAAGTCTTCATATTTCAGACTTCAACAAAATTCAATCAGCTATTTTCTCTCCAGTTAGTACTTTTTTTTTTTTTTTTTTTTTTTTGTGTATAATGCTTTTCTTTTATTTGTGTAGTGTGTATTAGCATAATAGCATTGTGCATTGAATTTTTTATTGAGAAAACTTTTAGGAAAAAAGGGGGAGTTTTTAGATTCCAATATTTTGTGATAAGCAAATGATTGTTTTGTGGTCCCAAAATTTGGATGAAAAATAATATAGAGATAATAGAAATAGAAATATAGATAGAACCAAGGAGGCTTTTATTTTTATATATTGTTTAAGTCTTTAAGACTTTAAGTTGATGATTGGAAAACTTTAAGTCGGAAAATTTAGAATTTCCATAGTTATTATAGAATTTAATTCATGAGTTAATTTATTTCTTTGTATTTATATAATTTTATTTTCTTGTATTTAGATAGCGGATCTAGAAATTTCTGTTAGGGTGGGTTAAAATAAAAACTAATTGCACATTAATATTTTTGTCTATTAGTGTTTTTGTTAGGGTGGGTCGAAATCTAGAAACTATACATATTAGTATTTTTTTAAAAAAAATTGAGGGTGGGCCAAAACTAGGCTGGATTTGCCCCTATTTAGATATGGAAAAATATTTTAAAAGAAAGTCAATTACTGAGACATCTCAATTTTGCTCTGGTGTCAATGATAATGAAAACCAACATTCTTCATAGAAAAATTGCTTCAAAGTTGACTTGGAAAATCTTTCTTTTGATCCTGAATTTCGACCAAAAATTACGTTTTATCATCCTAATGTTTGAGACCAAGTCAGAATGCGTTATTTACAAAAGGTTCCTTATCAACCTCGCAACCATAAGTTTCCCAAATCAAAATCTGGTGATCATGAATGGAGTTTCCGACGTTCTTGGTTTGACAAATATCCTTATTGGTTGGAATATAGTGTTGAGAATGATGTTGCATATTGTTTATGTTGTTATCTTTTCAAACCAGATAAAGGTGAGCAAAGTGGCCGTGATTCTTTTGTTCTTGATGGGTTTCGCAATTAGAAGAGACTTGAAAAATTTAAATATCATATCGGAGGTCCTAGCATCTATCATAACCAAGCTTTGAAAAATTGTCAAGCTTTGATGAACCAAAAGCAACATGTGAGTACAATTATTAATAAGAAATCTGACCAACAGCGAGAAGATTATCGTATTCGGTTGAAAGGATCAATTTCTACTAGTCGGCTTCTTCTTTGGCAAGGATTGCCTTTTCGTGGCCATGATGAGTCTGATAATTTAATGAATCGGGGAAACTTTCTTGAACTTTTACACTATACAGCTGAGCAAAATGAAGAATATAGATTAGTAGCATTGGAGAATGCTCCTGGACATTATAAATTGATTGCTTCTAGTATCCAAAAAGACATAATCAATGTATTTGCAGTTGAAAGCATCAACAAACTAATTAGTGATCTTGGAGATGCTTTTTTTTTTTCTATATTAGTTGATGAAGCTCGTGATCGATCCAACAAAGAGCAGATGTTTTAATGAAGGTAATACATAATTACTTATTTGCATGGCCTCCCTAAATCCAAGTGATTGCTTTCAAGCATTTGATAAGGGAAAATTAGTTCCTTTTGCTCAATTTTATCCACTTGAATTTTCTTTTACTAATCTTATGGCATTTGAACTTCAACTTGATAATTACATTGATGATATGTACTTGGATAGTTATTTTTCAGAACTAAATGATATTACTAGTCTTGCTTAGAAAATGGTTGAAAAGAAGAAGCATCTTATTTACTCATTGGTATATTTGTTCATCACGTTGGCTTTAACCTTACTAGTTGCAACTGCAAGTGTAGAAAGGACATTTTCTGCTATGAAAATTGTGAAGACTCATTTACACAATCGGATGAGATATCAATTCTTGAATGATAGCCTAATTCCATATGTTGAGAAAGATATATTTGACAGTGTTGATAAGGAGATGGTCATGCAATAATTCCTCAATATGAAGCCCCGCCAAGGACAATAGTAAATGTAATTTTTTTTCTTTTTGTTACAATTTTGACTAGAAAGATAGAATATGAATGTTATGTACAATTAGTTTTTATTTGGCCCAGCCTAATAGAAATTCCTGGATTCGCCCCTATTTGTAACTATACTCCTATTAAGTTATAACCTCCTCATAGTAATAAAATTAGTTTGATTCGACCATTAAGATTATCAATGTTTTAAAACCCAACCCGGGATGACTTTGCCGAGTCCCGGGTTGACCGGTTTAATCGCTTTGACCGTCGGTTAAACCGGTTGGCAAAAACTTTTAAAACTTAGCAAATACACCCCTAAAAGTTTGTTACATCCCTATAGGTTTGAAATTTATCAAACACACCCTAAATACAAATCAGTCATCGACTGCTTGGCGGCGGCGACACCCCAGATGCAACCCCAATCGTCCCTTGAACCTATTCCCCTTAAAATATACCCAAGATCTGGCCGAAATAGGTTCAATTTCGGCCAAATCTCACTGACACTGACGTTGGTATTCTAGGCCAGATCTCATCGACGCCGGCATTGAAAACCCTCCCCATCACCCAAAAATTACTCACCTCTTCCTCGCTACCAAAACCCACCTCACCCCACCCTCGTTAGCCTCGCCAATTGCCGGCAAAAGCCGGTTGTTGCCGCTGACTGTTTTGTTCGATTTTTGGTCGATTTACTCACCGAAAATCAACGCCGTCACCACCATTGTATTTAGCGGCAGTTTCTCTTCAAAAGCCCCAACATCCCGACTAGCAATTGTTCGCCGATCATCCTCCCAAATCGTAGGGTTTTGGATGAGTTGAAAAAACATAAACCCGGCCCGTTGAAGCTTCTAGGTCTCAGTTCAATCGGTTAAACTGGCCGAGCCGGGCCGGGCTGGGTTTTAAAATAATGATGATTATAGAGAAGTTTTACTATATATATATTCATAAATTATGATATAGTTTTCCGTGTTAGGATTAAGACACTTTGAATTATTGTATTTTGGAAATGACTTAATTTAGATATAATAGGAACCATTCAAATAAAATATTCAAGAATTGACAATTTGTGCAAAACTTACCTAACCCAATTTGAAAACGAATAATAGCTTATATGCTTTTTGGCACAATCTATTACTTCGATTAATGGAAAATGCTTTGCCTTTATAGTGAAGTTTTCATGCATTGAATTTCCATCAACTTTCACTTTTGACTAAAAATGTATCTATTGAGTACAAACTATTGCTACAGTTAGTGGAAATTTGGTTGCTTTTATATTGAAATTTTCATTGAATTTCCATGTAAATTCATTGTTTGACTAGAAATTAAAAGATAAATACCCATAATATATGAAACACAACATCGAGTCCGGAGTTAGCTCTAGTAATATTCTGCAATTCAACTTGTATATTTTCCTATATGAAACCCAAAATATATATAAAAAAAAAAAAAAAAAAAAAATTAAATGTAGGAGACAATATATCTTAAAAGAAAGAGTTATATAAATTGAACATGTGTCAATTGATTGACTCAAAACCAGAAATAACCTATATGGTTAACTAAAATCTTGCTTTCCCTTATCCATCTTCTGATTCCTATTTTAAGCATGCGAAAATCCGGTTCTCTAGTTTGACTAATTATTCTCCAATTTCTTAGACTAATGGAATCCTGAAAAGATATTACCCTTTCACAAAAACTTAAACATATAATGAATCATAAAAGTAATTAACCAGCATTCTGTTTCTCTTCAACTCATCTCTTTGAGAATCCACTATGGTTTCAGAAGATCAACAACTTCACGTAATGTTCCTTCCTTACGTGGCACCAGGTCACATGATGCCAATGGTGGACATGGCCAGGTTATTTGCTGCAAATGGCATCAGGGTCACCATTTTAACTACTACAAAGAATGCTCTTTCTTTTCAGAATTCCATCGCTCGAGATGTTCGATTCGGGCAGAAAATTTCCCTCGAGATCCTTCGTTTCCCTTCTGTAGAAGCCGGCCTACCTGAAGGCTGTGAAAATTTGTACGATGCTACATCACCAGAAATGCACAAAAGGTTCTTTCGCGCCCTGGAACTACTCCGACCGGAATTTGAACATCTCTTTCGTCGAAACCATCCTCATTGTATTGTTTCTGACAATCTATATACATGGACATTTCAACTTGCAAATGAACTCGGCATTCCAAGGCTTGCTTTTAGTGGCAGTGGATTCTTTAATCTTTGTATCTCGCATAACATTGATCGGTATAAGCCTCATGATGATATCAAACTGGAAACCGAAGTTTTTATCGTTCCAGGCTTGCCGGACAAAGTGAAACTCACAAGATCACAGCTTCCGGATATTGTTAAAACCAAAAACGAATTCTCTTCTTTGTTTGAAGAGATCAAGAAAGCAGAGAGGGACAGCTTCGGGGTGTTGGTTAACAGCTTTTATGATTTGGAGGCAGGTTATGTCGATCATTTTAGGAAAGATATCGGAATCAGGGCGTGGTCTATAGGCCCTGTGTCAATGTTTAATAGAGATACAGATGATAAAATTGAAAGAGGGGGCAATAGTTGTGTATCTAAACACAGTTGCCTGAGTTGGCTTGGTTCCAGGGAAGCCAATTCAGTTCTCTACATCTGTTTCGGAAGCTTGACAAGATTCAGCAAAGCCCAAATTAGAGAAATAGCTTGCGCACTTGAAGAATCAGGACATTCCTTTATTTGGGTCGTCGGAAAAGTTTCAGACTCTAAAGATTGTGATTTCTGGTTACCAGAGAGATTCCAGGAAAATGTAAGTGGAAAAGGACTGATTATATGTGGCTGGGCACCGCAAATTTTAATACTTGAGCATCCGGCCATTGGAGGATTCTTAACACACTGTGGTTGGAACTCAATTGTGGAAGGGGTGAGTGCTGGTGTACCAATGGTTACTTGGCCTGTTTTCGCGGAGCAATTCTACAATGAGAAGCTGGTAACACAAGTGATTAAATTTGGAGTTCCGGTAGGCAATGAGTTTTGGAAGATTTGGGCGACGGATGAATCACCTTTGATAGAGAGAGATAAGATCAAGAAGGCTATTTGTGCAGTTATGAGTAATGAAGATGAAGCATTAGAGATGAGGAATAAAGCGGATCGCCTCGGGGAATTGGCAAAGAAAGCTGTTGAAGAAGGGGGGTCATCTTACAATGGCATGAAGGATCTAATTCAGGAAATCAAAATGTACAAAAAGGCGTGAGAATTGGAAAGTATAGAATTAACTATCAGCTATTAATAGCATATCATATCATTTATAAACAGCATTTGTTGCAGTTAACAATCGAATATAAGAACTTAACTTGAAGGTAAACCAAGGTCAAAGAGAAGCGCAAGTAGAAAACTTATCCATTGGTTTTGTTAACCTTAGGCATTCAAAATTTGGGAAGACTTCATCCATGTCGCTATCTGCGAATTCCAGTGAAACATGCATTCTTCAGGGAATTCCAGTGAAAGAATCCAATAAGATGCCTCAACTTTGGCAACTTGGTAGAGAAAAAGAAAGATGATACCCGTCTAAATGCAAAGTTTGTAACCTCTGCAAGTTAGCAATTGATGGTAAATTTTCCGCAGCTACAGATCTTAAGTTCTTAACCTTAAATATATAAAGTAAATCACCGTTCTTATAATCTCTTTAGGAGTAATAGAAGTCTCAACTTCGAGCACTCTTAGAAATCTAAATTATATTTTCTAATTTTCGGCTAAATAGGAGAAGAAGTGGAAAGACCCTTCGAGGGTTTCAATATATACTTTCTTTTACAAGCATGTTTTTGATTTAAAGCATGTTCATTCCATTGAAAGTTTATTAAACACTTTGCTTATCCAAATTTTATTTTACGGGTTTGAACACCTATCAATATCAATGAATCTTTGTTTATTTTATATGATTTAAAAAATCAGTATTTTATTTGAATAAAAGTCAGCAAGTTAAAGTGAGTAAGATTAATTCTATTAATAGCCAGTAAAGGTTAATAATAATATTAACGAAATCAGTTTGTGAAACTTTAATGGACTGAGGATAACTTTGTTGTAGAAACGTTAGAAGTTTTAGACTTAAAAGCAATGTTTTTAAACTCAGACCCACCTTGACTCGGTCAAGAGGCCGGGTCCCAACGTTGGCCAGTCCGACCAGCTGGACCGCAACGTCAGCATATCCAACAGGTTTGAAATCCAGTAAACACACCCCTGAGAAATTTTTATCAATGCCTGCAGGTTTGAAATCCAGCAAACACACCCCTGCAAAATTCCCATTAGTCCTTGCAGGTTTAAAATCCAGCAAACACACCCTTAAAAAATCACACATTAGTCCTGCAGGTTTGAATCCAGAAAATACACCTCTAAGGATTTACACATCAGTCCCTTCAGGTTTGAAATCCAGTAAACACACCCCGAGAATGTAACCAGACCGAATTAGGGGCCGGTCCAGTCTGACTAGCTGGTTTGGTCTGGGTTTTAAAACGGTGCTTAAAGGTTATTTCCCATAATCAATTACTAAGAATGGTGAAGCCAATATATTTTCCCTTGGACCATGCTAATGCCTGCAAGCACTTAAGATTGTTAAACATTCAAGCACTTCGTAACTTGATTATGCCTTGGGATAATGAATAAATTTCTGTTATCAATTTATATAGTTGCTAGGAAAACCAATCAAATATATTGTTGTAATATGTTAATTTGATGGGGTGTCCGCAGCTTGGTTAAATAAATTATCAGGATAATGAATATGTTACTTTACGGAAGAATCCAACTTAGGAAAATTGTTGTAAACCACTTGCATTCTGACCTCAAAAATATTGNCACCTTTTGTTTAGCAAGGCTCTCTTCCGCCAAGCTCAACATTTTAAAACGAAGAGCTTTACCATTCTCCTCATCAATAAGGTTTCTATTAAAAGGATCAACGACCAATTTGTCTTGAACTTCCAAGAGTGATTCCCTAGCCTCCTTAACTCTCTCCAAGATACACCAACATTCCTTACGATTAAGTATCCTAATTAAGTTCTCTTTTAAGTTTCTTGAGTTTTGTCACTAGCTGGTACATGGGGTTGTCGTCCACATTTTCTCTCCAAACCAACTCTACAATTTCCAAGAATCTAATGTCATGGGCCCAAAAATTGAAGAACTTAAAATGGGCTTTCCTAACCTTTCTTGGAGTACCATAATCAACCCTGGCTGGACTATGGTTGGAAATAGGGGTGAGCACGGGTAGAGGATAGAATTGGAACCTACTTGGAATTGACATTGTGCGGGTAGGTTCTGATTCCATTTTATTGGAACTGACACTGGGCGGTTCCAGTTTCGGTTCCTACAGGTTTCAGAACTGGAACCAGAACCAGAATCGAGGAAAAGAACCTGAAGTGGGTACCCGGCTTGGAACCTGTTTGTGCTTTGGTTTTGATTAAAATTTTTTACGTGAATTGTAATGAATTGATTGAATTCAAGTGTTGCCTAGAGATTAAAGGATTTATGAGTCACATTGGACACAAATGAATGAGTAATCAAAAGTTCAAAACTACTAAATGTAGGTTTTCTTAATTTGCTATGGGTGTATTTGTAAACTTTTAAGATATTTTTGTCATTTTCTAAAATAATAGGGGGGTAATTGATTTTTTATAGAGTACCTGGGTAAGGAATGAAACTTGAAATTCAGGCTCCAGTTCCTTGAATTTAAGAACTGGAACTAACAGGTTCCAGTTCTGGTTCCTTTTTTTGGAAACCTGTACTGTGTGGTTCCAGTTCCTCTGAAAAATACATAGTACCCGGAATCGCTCACCCCTAGTCAGAAACACCCAGGGGGGTGGAAAAAATCTCCTGAATTAGGAAAAGAAAAGGCCCATAATGGGTGGGAAAGGTCGTTTTGCCAAACCTTGGGTGGGAAAATGTCTTTCTCCCTTATTTTTATTATTTTTCTTCTTGGTATCCTTATTAATATTCACTCTATATATANAACCAAACACATCTTCTAAATATTCACAGTAATCTTTAAGGTGATATTCCTTTCTGTTAATATAATATACCCCTATAATAAAACATTATGGGTCCGTTTGTTTTGTTATTTTGGATATGATTTTTGAAATAGTATTAGAGATTTGGGTTGGGTTATTATTACGAGAATAAGATTTGAATAATAGAGTGTTTGGTAGAGTATTTTGACCTTGTTATTTGTGCTGAATAAATTGTTAAATATTTGTTTGATATATTTTTTATAAATGATTTATTAATATAATATTTTGGTGCATTTTGTTAAAATCATTTATTATTATAACTTAAAAACTTATTAATTTACATTTTAATAATATTAAACATTAGATTGGTAATTTCGTAACCACTAAATATTAAAAAAAAAAAAAAAAAAACTCATATTAATTTTAAGTACTAATCCAACTATTTAAAAACACCACATTAATACATATATGACAAAGCTACTAATTATCAACCTTTAGAATCGTTTGTACATATATACTCCATTAACAATTATGAACTAGTCATATGTGTTGCCCACAGTTCAGTCGTCATGTTGTCTTTATGTAAAATAAGCAGGGAGCTGTGCGCTAGAATGGTTCGGATCGGCCTAACTGAGCTTCGCCAGAGGTTGAATGCAGGTGGAAGAGAAGTTGTAACGGTGGTTGGTGTTTGGAAGAAGAGGGATTGAAGAAATAAAGAAGAAGACGAAAGAAATAAAGAATAAAAAAGGGCAGATGGTAGGTGGAAGAGAGACTTGTCACGGTGGTTAAGGGAGAGAGACTGAAGAAATAAAGAGGAAGAAGAAGAAAGGAAGAAAGGAAGAAAGAAGTAAAATAAAAAATAAAAAATTGCAGATGTAGACCCCACCAACATAACTATCAAATATGATAGGAGTAGTATTTATTGAATACAATTTCTTAAATAATAAAACAAACACAAATTTCAAAAATTGTATCCCAAATACTGATAGAAATAGTAACCCAAACGCATCCTATATGATCCAAACGGCCCCTTAAGGATTTCGATGATGAAGTCCTAATTCACCGAGTCATAAAGCTTTCATCAGATCAACTTTCAAGGCACATTTCTTACTCTTGGCTGATTTCCTCCCATAGTGGCGCACAAACTCTTGGTAAAGAAGAATGTTGTCTCCAATCTTTCTACCTTTAACAAAAGCAGCTTATGCTCGATCAACAAAGCTTAGGAGTGCATCCTTGATTCTATTTGCAATAATCTTCGAGATGCATATATAGATTATGTTGCAACAAGAAATTGGTCTAAAGTCATGACAAGTGGATGAGTTTTTCACATTCCGCATGAGGCTAGAATGGGACAATATTTCCTTTGGATCTTCCCGATCTAACCAAAATATCTTGGATAGCCTCCACCATCCTTCCACGATGCTCCAAGCTTGTTTAAAAAACGGGGCACCAGATCCATCGGGGGCGGGTGCTTTATATTACCAGCTCGAAAAAAGTTTTTCTTATCCTCTTCCCTAGTACTTTCACTCTATCCATAACATCTAAATCATCTTAATCCTGCATATACGAGTAATAGCTAGGTATATTCAAGGACCTTCACATTATGTTTTATGAGGTCACTCTCCCAGTCTGAAGAGATTTTGGTAGAAAACGCCACAAGTCAAACTCCTCATATTTCAGGCATGACCCGTAGTCAATAACCATTGCTCAAGAACCAAAGAGTGAAGATGTAATGTTCCCCTATTTCTTTCCTCATCTGATGGGTTTAAAATACGAAATGCCCATGTTTTGGTCTCCTTCCGTTACGTCATTAACCCTCACCTTTTGTTTAGCCACGGCGTACTCTTCCGCCAAAGTCTCAACATTTGTAAACGTATAGCTTTGTACATTACTCCTCATCAGGTAAGTTTCTATTAAAAGGGAGTCAACGACCATTTTTGGGAGCTGAACTTCCAAGAGTGATTCCCTATCCGTCCGGTAACTCTCGCCAGAAACACCAACATTCCAGTAAGCTATCCTAATAATAGAGTTCTCCTTTTAAGTTTCTTGATTTTGTACTAGCTGTACATGTGGTGTCGATCCCACATTTTCCTCTCCAAACCAACTCACAATTCCAGAACATACTCGTCTGGCCCAAAAAATTGAAGAAGCTAAAGGGCTTGTCTAACCTTGGTCTTGGTAGTACCATAATCACAGCCCTGGCTGACCTATGGTTGTACAGAGTAATGGTAGGGTCGTTTAAGCAACAAAAGGGTAGAGA